GCACACACTAATAGTAGGAGACTTCAACATGCCTCTCTCACCAATGGACAGGTCAATCAGACAGAAACCTAACAGAGAAATAAGAGAATTAATGGAGGTAATGAATCAAATGGACTTAACAGACATCTATAGAACATTCCACCCAAATAGGGAAGAATATACCTTCTTCTCTGCAGCTCATGGAACCTTCTCGAAAATTGACCACATACTCGGTAACAAAGCAAACTTCCCCAGTTACAAAAAAATATTAGTAACCACCTGTGTCTTATCAGATCACCATGGATTAAAGTTAGAATTCAACAACAATGCTACCCCCAGAAAGCCTACAAACTCATGGAAACTGAACAGTCAACTACTGAACCATACCTGGATTAAGGATGAAATAAAGAAAGAAATTAAAGACTTCCTTGAATTCAATGAAAACAAAGAAACAACATACTCAAACTTATGGGACACTATGAAAGCAGTCCTGAGAGGAAAGTTCATAGCACTAAGTGCCCACTTAAAGAAAACAGAGAAAGCACACATTGGAGACATAACAGCCCACCTGAAAGCTCTAGAAAAAAAAGAAGCAGACTCACCTAGGAGGAGTAGAAGACTAGAAATAATCAAACTGAGGGCTGAAATCAACAAAATAGAAACACAGAAAACAATCCAAGGAATCAATGAAACAAAAGGCTGGTTCCTGGAGAAAATCAACAAGATTGATAAACCCCTATCCAAACTAATCAAACGGCAGAGGGAGAATATGCAAATTAATAAGATCAGAAATTAAAAGGGGAACATAACCACAGACACAGAGGAAATTCAGAGAATCATTAGATCTTACTACAAAAGCCTGTATGCCACAAAACTGGAAAATGTAAAAGAAATGGACACTTTTTTGGATAAATACCATATACCAAAGTTAAACCAGGACCAGGTGAACAATCTAAATAGACCTGTTAGTCGCGAAGAAATAGAAGCTGTTATCAAAAACCTCCCTACCAAAGAAAGCCCAGGACCAGCTGGTTTCAATGCGGAATTCTAGCAGAATTTTCAAGAAGACCTAATACCTACACTCCTTAATGTATTTCACAATATAGAAGCAGAAGAGTCATTGCCAAATTCCTTTTATGAAGCTATAGTCACTCTGATACCAAAACCACACCAAGATTCAACCAAGAAAGACAATTACAGGCCAATCTCACTCATGAACATTGAAGCAAAAATTCTCAACAAAATACTGGCAAACCGAATCTAAGAACAATTTTAGAAAATTTATCCATTATGATCACGAAGGCTTCATCCCAGAGATGCAGGGCTGGTTCAACATACGAAAATCTATCAATGTAATCCATCATATAAATAAACTGAAAGAAAAAAAAACATACGATCATTTCATTAGATGCTGAAAAAGCATTTGACAAAATTCAACATCCCTTTATGATAAAAGTCTTGGAGCGACTAGGGATACAAGGGTCATACCTAAATATAATAAAAGCTATATACAGCAA